GTGGTAGTGGTAGTGGTAGTGGTGTAGTGGTGGGGTGTAGGGGTGTCCAGCGGGGGGTTCACGTGATGGTCGTAGTGGTCGCTCACTTGCTTGCAGGTGAGACTACGCCTAGCGTCCACTTGCTGGCACCTAACTCTCACCTGTGGCTCCACGTAGCTGGGCTCTGCTCAGCGACCACACCCCGGGCAACCGTCTCGAGCGTCCCGACCGGCTAAACCAGGTGAGGGTATCCGTGCGTGCACCTGCACGCGCGGTAATGCGGTCTACGCTGGCCGGATGGATCTTCGCGTCGACATCGTCGAGACGAGGCTCTGCATGGACCATCGCAGGAAGCCACCAGGTAAGTTATTCTTCAGGTAAGTGCATTTGCTCTGTTTCCTCCTTTTGTCTGTTGAAGTTCCGTGTCGTATGCTGCTCTTGCTTTCTGCCCTCTATATGCTAGTCTGTCTGTTAATAGCTAGATGAAACTCTCGATGCCTGCTGCGACTGTCTGTCTGTCAGTCTATGCCTCCCTCTGCTAATAGCTAGATGTTACGGTGCTTGACTTTGAGTGGTGCCCTCACTTTTGTCTCTAACTGATGACTGTGTCCGCTTGTCCACTCTAGTTCTAAGTCCCATAGCGTTAGGTTGTGCGTATGCTCTCTCCTACTTCACTCCATCACATCACCATCACCACCAAGGTCACAGGCTAATTCGAGTCGTTCTCTCACTAACAAAAAGTCGTGGCCCATAGTGGAGTCCGGCAGCCGTCTGGGATAACCGAGCAGCCCTGTTCAGGGATGCGTTGCCTGCCCCGCGAGGGGAGGGGGCTAGAAAAGGTGCCCTAAAGATCGCTGGGAACCACGCTGTCTGTAGGCTGGCCGTGGTCGCAGACAAAAAACACACGGTCGAAACAGCCAAAACCGAAACAACAACAACAATCACTCTCTTCCTCTTCCAGCCAATTCTTCTTCTTCTTCTCCTACTCCTACTTTTCGCCGCCGCAGTCGCCAGACTGACAGGGTGAGCCCGCTCACTCTGGCAGCCTGGAATGTTCGTTACCTTTTAGACAATCCGATTTCCAACCGACCGGAACGAAGGACGGCGCTAGTGGCACGAGAACTGGCGCGCTACAAGGTGGACATCGCCGCACTCAGCGAGACCCGATTCTCCGAACAAGGCCAACTGGAGGAGGTGGGTGCCGGCTACACCTTCTTCTGGAGTGGTCGACCCAGGGCAGAGCGACGGGACGCGGGCGTCTCCTTTGCCATCCGGACCGACATCGTGGAACGACTGCCCTGCCTGCCGCAGGGAATCAACGATCACCTGATGAGCTTCCGCCTGCCTCTCCGGCGAGGAGGCAAATTCGCCACCATCATCAGCGCCTACGCTCCGCCGATGAGCAGCCCCGACGCCGCCGCAAGGGACAAATTCTACGAGGACCTGCACGCCATCTTGGCGACTGTGTCGAAGGCGGACAAGTTGATTGTCCTTGGCGACTTCAACGCCCGCGTCGGCACAGACCATACTGCCTGGAGGGGAGTGCTGGGTACCCACGGTCTCCACGGCTCCAACGACAACGGCCTGCTGCTTCTCCGCACCTGCGCAGAACACCGCCTCATCCTGACGAACACGTTCTTCTGTCTGCCGGAGCGAGAGAAGGCCACCTGGAGGCATCCTCGGTCGCGTCAGTGGCACCTGCTGGACTACGTCCTCGTCCGGAGGCGAGATCAGAGGGACGTGCTGATGACGAAGGCGATCGCGGGTGCTGACGGGTGGACCGACCATCGCCTCGTCATCTCGAAGATGCGTATTCGCCTACAGCCTCGCCGGAGACTACAAGGTAAGCGACTCCCAGGTAAGCTGAATGTTGCCTTGTTGTCTTTGCCCGCTCACCATCTTCATTTCAGCAATGAGCTAGCTCAACGGCTAGACAACCTTCCAATCGCTGCCGCTGACGACGTCACCGCCGCCGCTGCCGAGAACGCCTCCGTGGAGAACCGCTGGTGTCAACTGCGAGACACGGTCCAGTCGAAGGCGCGAGCCGTCCTCGGTCGCGCTCCCCGTCAACACCAGGACTGGTTCGACGACAACGACGCCGCCATCAGCAATCTGCTCGCCGAGAAGAACCGCCTACACAATGCCTACGTAGATCACCCCACCGAGGACAACAAAACTGCCTTCTACCGTAGTCTCCGCAAATTCAGCAACGGCTGCGCGAGATGCAGGACGCCTGGACTGCTCGCAAAGCTGAGGAGATCCAAGGCTACGCGGACCGCAACGAATGGAAGAACTTCTTCTCCGCGATCAAAGCTGTCTACGGTCCGCCGACGAAGGGCACTGCACCTCTCCTCAGCGCCGACGGCAGCAATCTCCTGACTGAGAAGACGCAAATCCTACAGCGATGGGCCGAGCATTTCCGAGGCGTCCTCAACCGTCCCTCCGTCATCTCCGACGCCACCATCGAGCGTTTGCCGCAAGTGGACACCAACGTGGACCTCGACCTCCCGCCATCTCTCCAGGAGACCATCAGGGCCGTGCAGCAGCTCTCCAGCGGGAAAGCACCCGGATCGGACGCAATCCCTGCTGAGGTCTACAAGCACGGAGGTCCCCAACTGATGGATCACCTGACTGCGCTCTTCCAGGAGATGTGGCGTCAAGGCGAAGTCCCGCAAGATTTAAAAGACGCAACCATCGTGCATCTCTACAACCGCAAAGGGAATCGCCAAGTCTGCGACAATCACCGTGGCATCTCTTTGCTAAACATCGCCTGGAGGATCTTAGCTCGCATCCTGCTCAACCGCCTCAATAACCATCTGGAACGGGGCCTTCTGCCGGAAAGCCAATGCGGCTTCCGTCGTCATCGTGGGACCACGGATATGATCTTCGCCGCCCGTCAACTTCAGGAGAAGTGTCAGGAGATGCGGACCCACCTGTACTCTACCTTCGTGGACCTGACGAAAGCCTTCGACACGGTGGCCGTGGTGGTCGCAGTATTGGTGTCGATGGTGAAGATGATTGGTTGCATCGGCGTAGGTTGGTATTGCTACGTTGCGACGAGCTGGAAGCTGTTCCGCAAGAACCATCTGGGCTTTGAAAGCACGTTGAGAAAGGGGAACATATTAATGGGCTTTAGGCGTTAACGGCGTTCCAGTCCTTCAGACCTCCCAATTCGCCTTGGCCTTCACTGTCCAGTTGACTTCGAGGATTTACGCTCCAGTTTAAACGGCAGTTCGCCATGTCTGCCGGTCCTGGGTACGCGTGCCCCTAGGCCTTTCTGCTTCTTGAATGTCCGCAGCGTATTCTCTTGGTTACGTTTTTGCCCATTCTGTATCGACGTCACCTTAGGGAGACACCCGCGCATAAATCATCTTTGGAATGCGGACATCCTAGTAGGTTGATCTGCTTCAATGTAGCACAGAACGGTTCAGATATACGACAATCGAATTCGCCTTACATTATTCAGACAAAAGCTTCTAGTATTTAAATATGGTGAATTACTTAGGGAAAAGTGGCGAGTTAATTAATAAGGAAAAACGTAAAAAATGCAAGTTAGTTGGACTTGGGTGCAGCCGTATGGTCCTTCGACTGAAGCCGTGTTGAATGCTGTCTTTACACCTCCTAAGGTTTTTTTCACAAATTGGGAAGGGACGACACTGTCTTCTTTACTGCCAAAATTAACAACAATGTCTATCAATGCACTGTGGTTTGCCCTAAAAATCCTAAAAGTGCTGTAATTTGAAAGCCTACTCTAAAGTATGGATTGCGAAAAACCTTCCATTTTCAAGCTCGTTTTGAACCCAGACTGACTTGCAAGAGGAGGAACTGGATTTTATGTCATAACTTCTAAAAGGAAGAAGGGAAAATTGCTTTACTCCCATACCTGATAGGCCTATCAGCGATAACTGCGGACTAGAGTATCATCCGAGAATCCTGAGGACTGTTGTTAGACCGCAGCCCTTGCCAAAGACTTCTCCCAGGTATGAGCTTTTACTTCCCACAGTAATAAGTTACGAAAAGCGTTATAACTACAAATTCTTTCTCTTCATGCTGACCGCACTCATTACCAGAGCCAGTCTGGTTCTCTCTCGTTTGGCGTGTTTTGACCCCTCCACGTAAACCAATTTTGTTTGTGAACTCCTACTTGCCCTGATTACGTGCAGTACGTCACAAGTCTCATTTACACGGAAGTTACATGTTCAGGGACCCTTTCGGCCAGAAAATATGGTCTACATTTCAGTGTGGATTAGTGTGGAACATTACCGAAGATAGTTCGTACAAGACAGCATTTCTTTCTTATGACAGGGCGTCTCACCAGCCATTTGTGTAATTCTTGTGTATTTTAGACCGAACGGGGATTTCTTATAGTCGTGATGTCTACAAAGCTCTGCTATATGTATATTTATATACAGGCAGGAGTAAATTACCAACAAAAGCAAGGAAGACTGGGGTGGCCAGCCATCTCTGGATTATTAGCCGGCGGTTGTCTACCGCAGGTTTGCATGAATGCGCACGTTGCCTAATAAGTCAATGCTGTGGGTTGAATGTATTGGTGTTATGAAAGTAGTCGAGGCGAGTTCGGCGAGTGTTTGTGGTGCTCCAGGCACTGGTTGACCAGTCCCTATGCGATGGATTCTCAAGCGACCGATTAGGCCGATGTGTGAGGTGAATTTGCAATCCAAAATGAGGACAGGTATGGACCGAGTGCTCATCGCTGGCGGTGGAAGTGTTGAGGTTGATGATTGTCGGTGCGTTAGGATTGAGTGCATTGGCGTTGGGGGCAGGAACTGCCGCAGCAGATATTGAGGCGGTGGAGGAGGGTGGCAATTGGAGGTCAGGAACGCGGTTATGGTTGATTGTCGACGCGGAGGTGGAGGTGGACGGGGAGACAGAAGGTGGTGTCCTCGGGGTGCTGCAGTTGGTTCTATGATGTCCAAATCGGCCGATTGGAGCCTGCAACGTTCGCTGTCATCGTGGGCAGGTTGGAGGTGGTTGAGCGTAGGCGTTGCGAGGTGAGGCAGTTGTGATTTAACACTTTCACATTTAGCTTTTACGGTGGTTACGCGGTTGGATTCGTAGATCGCTGCGCCGATCTTTACTGCTCTCCATCAGGTCGGTCTGCCACGGACAAGCTCTCCCCAGCTGGCCGGGTCGATTTGCAGGTGCCTGAGGCAAGTATTCAGGGCATCCTTCTAGCAACAGCCTGGGCATGCTTGTCAACGGGAATCCGTGGTGACATCTCCATAGGAAAGCCGTTCGGGTAGCCGTTCATCGTCTATCCGCATGAGGTGGTCGCTCCAACGTAGTTGCGGCTGTCTCAGCATGGCGTAGATGCTGAGGATTCCCGTCCATTTCAGAACGCATGTGTCCGTGATCCAGCCCTGACAACTCAGCTTCAATATCCCACGGAGACAGCTGAGGTGGAAATGGTTAAGTATGCGCGCCTGCTTCTTGTACACTGTCCAGGTCTCCGCTCCACATAGCAGAGTCAGCAGAAGGACTGCTTTGTACATTTCCAGTTTGGTGCTGATGTGGAAATTGCGTCGATTTCAGCCGGTACTTTGCAGACGACCGAATGCTTGGCCGACCTAGGAAATCCAGCGGACCACTTAATCATCGGTTTTGGTGTTGCGAGAGAGGGTGCTGCCCAGGTAAGTGAAGTTGTCCACAGCTTGCAGTTGGGCGCCGTTAACTTTGATGTGTGGTGCTACGTGGGCAGCCTTGGTTGGCGTTTGATGCATATACGGCGTCTTCTTCGTGTTGGTGATTAGGCTGAAGTTGTCACTGGCGGTGACGAAAAGGTCCCTGTTCCTTTACCTGTCTCCTTCCTAGGTGGCGTTGATAGCACAGCTGTCAAAGATAAGTTCATGGACAGAAGTTGCGGATACATTCGACTGGGAGTGCATCCACCACTGATTGAGGAAGTGGCCGCCCGTCCTGTAGGCGACACGGATCCGGGGACGTTCGTCACGGTAAATGTCCAGGAGCCTGGCGGCGAACATGAGACTGACGAGGGTAGGTTTGAGGACGCAGCCCTGCTTCACTCTGTTGGTCACTGTGAATGCCCTTGATACGACCCAATTGTCCGTGACTCGCGCCATCATGCCATCGTAGAGCAGCCGAATTTCTGCATGGTTTTTCACAGTCCTTCGCGACCGACTGTGCCAAAGACTTTCGTCAGATCCAGGAAGTTAGAGCAAAGGTGTATCTGCACCTCCTGACACTTCTCCGGCAGTTTGCGGGCAAAAACGATCATGTGAATGGTGCTGCGATGACGGCGGAAGCTTGTACTGGCTTTTCGGCGGGAGACCTTGTTCCGGATGGTTGCTCAGACGGTTGAGGAGGATGCGAACGTAGATTTTCCCGTCGATTTGGAGCGGAGAGATGCCTCGGTGGATGTCACAGACCTTGCGATTATCCTTCACCTTGTAGAGGTGGACGCGTGTGGAGTCCTTTAAATCCAAGGGGAGTTTTCCTTGACACATCATTTCCTGCAAGAGCGCCGTTAGATGGCCATGAGTTGGTGCCCACCGTGTTTACAGAGCCCAGAAGGGATCGCGTCCGATCCAGGCGCTTTTGCTTGAAAGCTTTTGCGCAGCCTTGATGCTTTCGTGAAGAGGGAAGCGAGGTCGAGGTCGGCGTTAGTCTCCACCTGAAGCAGATGGGCGATGGCGGCGTCCGAGATGGTGGTGCTTGAGAATGGTTCTGAGCTGTTCAGCCCATCGCTGTAGGATTTGCGTCTTATCAGTAAGTAGGGTGGTTCTGTGTCCCTCAGTTGACACCGTCGGTTCTACACAGAGGCATTCTTGTCGTTGGCGTTGTCATCGTCGCCGCCGCCGCCGACGCCGACGGAAACAGCGACTGGAATGTTAGTTAGCCTTGGGCTAGTTCATTGCTGAAATAGAGAAGGTGAACAGGCAAAGACAACAAAGCAATATTCAGCCTACCTGGGGTCGATTATATTGTGGTCTACTGCGAGGCTGTAGACGAATCCTCATTGTGGAGATGACGAGACGATTGTCGGTCCACCTGTCAGCACCCAAGATAGCCCTTGTCACCAGCATGTCCCGCCGGTCTCGCCTCCTGACGAGGACATAGTTCACTGGTTTCCACTGTCGCGACCGAGGGTTCACTAAGGTGGCCTTCTCTCGCGTCGGAAGGCAGAAGAATGTGTTGGTCGGGATGAGCTGGTGTTATGCGCAGGTTCGTAGGAGTAACATGCCATTGTCATTGGAGTCGTCGAGACCGTAGGGACCCATCACTCCTCTCCAAGCAGCATGGTCTGTGTCGACGCGGACGTTGAAGTCACCAAGGACAATCCACGTATCCGCCCTCGGTACAGTCGCCAGGAGGGCGTACAGGTCCTCGTAGAATTTGTTCCTTGAAGTGTCAGAACTGGTTATCGCGGGGCAAGGAGAGCGTAGACGCTGATGATGGTGGTGAATTTGCCTTCCTGGAGAGACAGGCGTAGGCTCATCAGGCGTTCGTCGATGCCCTGCGACAGACAGGACAGTCGTCCTACAATGTCGTTCCGGATGGAAAAGGCGACGCCCGTGTCACGTCGCTTTGCCTTGGGGCGGCTGCTGAAAAAAAGGTGTGGCCGGCACCCACCTCCTTCAAGTGGCCTTGTTCGGGGAACCGGGTATCGCTGAGTGCAGCGATGTCCACCTTGTAGCGAGCCAGTTGCCGATCCCCTAGCGCCACCTTTTGTTTCGGTTGGTTGCCCCTGGTATTATCTAAAAGGGAACGAACTTTCTAGGCTGCTAGAGTGAGCGGGCTCACCGTACCGGCCTGGTGAGTGAGGAGGAGGAGAAGGAGGA